AGGGAACGCAAAGGATCCCCAGAACACCATTTTCCTCCTTACGGAACCCCGCACACGGCAAACATGGGGGTTGAAAAACCAACGGTGTTAGTCGAAAACAAATAAAGCAACATAATCAAAGTATTTAAAGAAATATACGAAAAAGAAACTAAATTAACGCAAAAGAAATTGTGAACCAAAATATGTTAATAATAAATAGTACAAAGAGATTTAATCATGTACATCTTAAAGAATATTGGTCTGTGGTCTCGACGTGAAAGGAAGAAAAACGAAATTTGAATGGCAAGAAGGAGGGCCGAAAATAGAGAAGGATCACTAGGGTACCCCGGGTTTGTGACATCCATGTTTACTAAAGACAGTAAACCCCTTGGAAAAAGGAAAAGATCACTAGGGCACCTCGGGATTGTGACACCCGTACTCACCTAAAGAAGGCGAGCCCCCTGAAGGGACTGCACTAATAAATAGGGTATGATTATCTCTTAGACAAGAGATGAAACCCCCTTTACAAACCTCCACACCACGCCAACGGGAAAACTTTGAGCCTCGATAAATTTAATGTGCATCAGCCCCTGTACACGGCAGGTCTTAAGTGGCACTAGGAGTCTAATTCATGACATACCGACCACGAGTCTGATCCTAACTACTAGGCTACCAAGACCACGCGATATACAGCCAATTCTTCCAAAATCCAGTGATAAACATCACCTAGAAAATTGCTTAAATCCTTACAAATGTTATAAACGCAAAAGCTTGTATGTATGGATGTTTGTTAGTCTTTCACGCAAAAACAACTGAATGGATTTTAACGAAACTTTACAATAATATAGCTTATACATCAGAATAACATAAGCTATAATGCATAAAGATATTGTGGGAAGTGTCCAAAATATAACGATAATTGTCAAGTAGGAAAAAATTCTGCCATCTGCAAACAATTCTGGCGTGCGCTGCGAAAGAGCCCGCGACAGCATATATCTAACTTTTATGTGTGAAGCAAAGCTTTCCCTTATTGTTTTGTCTACGCCAGGCGCTCGCTTCTAATTTATTCCTTTGTGATCAGTGTAATCCCTATTTTTTTTATTTATTTATTTATTTTTATTATTATTTTAAAATAAAACTAAGTTTTGAAGGAAGAGGTTGTTTTACATCTCTCTTTATTTGAATAGCTACTATTGATTTTTGAAGTTTTACTTCTTTTGGGGCGTTAGAGAAATAGGATGATAGTGAATTTTTACGATGCGCGCGCACACCGTAACGGATGCGAAAATGCTTTGTCTAGAAATATACAGAACGTTACAGATCATTGCCGCCTTCGAAATTCTCAGAAAAATATTTCTCTTCACTTCCCTGAAGAAGGACACCTAGGTTTGAACTGGGGACCTCTCGATCTGCAGTCGAATGCTCTACCACTGAGCTATACCCCCGCGTCAGTTAAACTTTGCTTTGCGTTCCGTAGGAACGGATACGAAAATGTTTGATTAGAAATATTTAGAACGGGACAGATCATTCCCATCTTCAAATTCTCAAAAAAAATATTTCTCTTCACTTCCCTGAAGAGGGCTCCCGGGTTTGAACCGAGGACCTCTTGCGATTAGCAGTCGAATGCTCTACCACTGAGCTATACCCTTCGTGTATGCGAACCTTTGCTTTGCGCTGATTTGTGACGTCACTACTAGTAGGGAGAGATCGCCCTTAGCCTACGGAGCTTCTCTGATGCATTTGTTTGAACACTTTTTGTTATTAAACCAAACATACTAACAGGAAATTTAAAAAAATAGTAAATTAATCTTTAAATTGTGTTTCATGTACATAAAAGATAAGAGTAAATATTAGTTTACCTAATTAAATAACAATTGCAAGTATATGATTATAGATGTATTTACTACGAAAGCATTACGATGAGCATTAACACATTTATTATATTGTAGCAAATTATAAGAATCTTTTGTATTCGTATATTTATTTTTGAAGTTATCCTTTTTGGGCATTAGGAAAAAAGGATGAGGGTAAATATTTATGTTACGCGCGCACACCGTCACGGATGAGTGCGCATACCTTCACGACACCGATTCGCGCGCGCACACACAGTTGTCTAATATTTTAACATTCCACTTTTTTGATGCTATGAGACTGATATATTTGGGGGATCATAATAACTATTTTTATAAGCCATACCTATTGGAACGCATCCCCCCCTGTTCATTCCCCTCTCTACAGACTTTTGGCCAATATCTCGGCACCCGTGCCTCACAGTCTATTAGGACCTGTGTCATTCGGTCCATCTCTATCTGCTCTTTCAGTTATTATAATTTCATGCTCATAGGGATTTTAATTGTCTTAAACTTTTTAAATTTGTTTAAATTCTCAATATCTTGGCTCCTGTTTGAGTTCCGGACTTGAGATTTGAACCAAGTGTTCCACTCGTCGAGACCCATTCAGTCATCTGCTTCATTCCCATTATATAGGCATGGGGAGGGCTGAAGCACTAAAATATCATGCTCCCATGTTAATCCTATGGGGACTGGAAAAAATCCCCCCCCCAAGGAATTGAGCTTGGAACTTGATTTTTGGAGGTCCGTTATATTTTCGTATTCGCGCGAGCTTTACGTGGAATTGGCCCCCTCCCCCTACAGGGCTTCCCCAGAAATAACTAGAATCCTATGCCACCTTGGCAGACCGCACCGGCTGCATTCGATTGTTCATCCTATGAGCATCCTAGATATATTTTTTCGGGACCATAGCCCCATTTCTTTAAAATAATTTAAAAATGTTAAATATGGGTCAAGTTATAATTTTTTTAAAATCCCGCATAGCTCTGAGGATTTTTGAGATTCGTTAATGAAACTGGGACCATAGGTTCTTCTCGTTGAGCTGTTTCATCTGTTATAATTCGTGTGTAGATAGTGGGCTTAGGGGAGGCGTTATCGCTAAAATTAGAATCCCTATGGGGTTCAATCTTTTGATGACGTAACGATGTTACAGAGATAGAAGGATGAAACTTTGGGATCACCTACTACTGTGTATCGTTGGGATGTACGTGACCATTTACGTCACAGTTGTTCCACTCCGGGGGGAGTTAATTTCGTTTTCCTTTCCCGAGCTAGCGCCTCCCCATTTGCAATTAGAGATTCCGAACCGGTTCTAATGGATTCCTCTTGTGTTTGCTCACAACCAGGCCCAGTTTCGAGTTGCTGGGTGCCCTGCTTCTATATATATATTTTATTTTATTGTTTTAAATGTTTTAATTATTTTAAAATGACCATAACTCGGGGGCTCTTCAGGCGGATGTCTTAATTTTTTGTCATGAACGATTCTTCCCGCCGAGACATTCAACATGAGGTATCATATGTCACATTCGGCTCACTTCATTTCCAGATACAGTCTGATACCCCCCGTAATATTGGTCCTATTGTCCCTGTGCGGGGGTGTTTAAATTTATTTAAATCGTAATTATCTCAGGTTTGGCTGGTCCAATTGAGACTGAAGGTTAGTATCGTTCAACTCTGCTCGTGACCGCCTTTCGCGCTTGGCCATGCTTGCCCTGCTCAAGATTTTTAGAAAGATTTTAATCTTGTTATGCCAAAGAAGTATACCTTCTTACGTGCGTACACAAGTACACACACTTTTTTTCATGCGTAAGCCCTTATCGCCAAAATAGCAAACCATACATACAATAAAAATTGATAATTTCCATGTACGGTTTTTTTAACGATTTTATTATGCAAATTTGGTAGTAACAAATTGATCCTTATATCAAAATAAATACTTTTATCGCTTCTGGTACTTAAAGTAGATAAAAATTTGTCTTTCACACTACATAATTTGGACAAAGTTGTATAATTTGTTTGTGGTTAATTATAACGCTATAATTTTAATTGAATACGCAGATATTGCAATTTTTAAGTATAAAAGTAATAACTACTGTACTGTATTTTTTTGGAGTGAGTGAGTGAATATTAATGTCGCTCTGTTCAGCTACACGAGGGCTTTTGGTGACGGACCACGTAATTTTGAACCATGGTCAAGTGACTTGGACGACACCTGAGCTAGCAACCCCCTCTCCTAACTACTACACCAACTTAGAAATATTCTACAAATACTTAGCAGGAATATTCTTCGAAATCCACTCTTCCAAGATATATGGCAGCAAGGGTTCTATGATGAGTATTTTAGCGGGGAAGGCGAATAGTTTTGTAGCAGAAATTGCTTTTTCCAGTTGAAGGCGTTTTCAGCGGAATGCAAAGATTATCATTTTTGCCCCGAAAAAATAGTTAATGTCAAAATTTAAGAGTCTTATTTTTTTTTTTTTGTATGTTAATGAAGACCTTAGAAAACGATTTCACTATTTATTTTAAGTGAACAGTGTATATAATTAATTTTACAGTGGAATATCTTTAATTAGCTCGTGTAACGGATTAAATTTCCCAAAGTTGAATATTTCGTTTATGTATATCCCTTAATTTTCAATGTAATGATCCAAAAAAAAAATGCAGTAAATCATAATGCGGTAGATAAAGGGTTAACGTGCATCGCTCGCCTACACAGCGGGTCTTTAGTGGTACTGGGTTCGAACTCGTGAGAAGGCCAGCCACGATCCGATAACTTGACCACTCGGCTGCCGCGGCCAATGTATTTTTGGAAGTGTAGAAAAAGTACCATTGGCGTAGCTAGCTTTGACGGGGCCCTGTATCGAAATTCCTTCGGGGCTCGTTTTAGATACGGGATAAAAAAAATATTGCATGAAAAAAACTCGCTTTTATGTTTATGAAAAATGTTTAAATTTGGGTGCATACATCCTGAGAAATTGGTACCATCGCTGGGAGTAGTAACAGCACTTATGTGACTGGCCATTGAGTCAAACAGAGATTGGATAGCATGCACAGGTACAGATGCCCATGCAGCTTCAACACGATGCCACAGCTCATCGACCGTAGTGTCTGGTGACGAAGTAGTAGCTGGACAACCATGAATAAGACATTTTCTATTGGCGAAAGATCTGATGATATTGCAGATCAGGGCAACAGCTGAACATTTTCCGTATCAAGGAAGGTCCTTACAATACCGGCAACATGCGGTCGTGCTGCTGAAACGTAGGGTTTCACAAGGTTCGAATAAAGGGCAGAGCCACGGGTCAGAAAGGCACTGTTCAAAGTGTCGTCAATACGAACAAGAGGTGACCGAGACGTGTATCCAATAGCACCCCATACCATCAGGCCAGGTGATGGGCCAATATGACGATGCACGTTGTCAATGTTCGTTCACCACGATGCCGCCAAACACTGATGCGACCCTCTTTATGCTGTAAACAGAACCTAGATTCATCTGAAAAAATTACGTCTCACTATTTGTGCACCCAGGTTCGTCGTTGATCACAGCATTGAAGAAGCTCCTGTCTGTGAAGCAGCGTCAAGGGTAGCCGGAGCCATGGTCTCCGAGTTGAGAGTCCATGCTGCTGCTAACGTCGTCAAACTGTTCGGGCAGACACTAGTTCTCTTGTAAATCACCCCAATTCTTGACTCAGGGCTCGTGAAGTGGCTGCATGACCCATTAAGGTTATGCGGATAACAGGTCAGTCTTCTCGGCTGCTAGTGAAGGTATCAGATCATGGCAGGCATGTCATGAGTTCGAGCCCAGTACCACTAAAGACCCACCGTGTAGGGCAGCAATGCACGTTAAATCTGTCGAGAGCTGAAACGACCTCCCGTTGGTGTGGTAGTTAGAAGGGGGTGCCAGCTCTAGTGTCGTCCACGTCACTTGACCATGGTTCAAAATTATGTGGTCCGTCGCCAAAAGCCCTCGTGCAGCTGAAAAGTGCGACGTTAATATTCACTCTCTCACTCACTCGGCTGCTAGTGATAGGGGGCCGTTGGGATTAAGCGCGGTGTTCCGTATTACCGTCCTGAACCCATCGAATCCATATTCTGCTAACAGTCATTGGATCTCGACCGACGCTAGCAGAAATGCTGCGATACGATAAACCGCAATCCAGGTCCGCTACGATTCGACCTTTATCAAAGTCAGAAACGTGCTTGTATGTATTTCTGCTTCTTTAACGAGGCATCACAACAATTTTTCACCAGGTAACAACGTTCAAATGCAATTTGTGTATGAGAAACCTGCTGAATTTCCTCATTTGAACACATTGTAGGTGTCGCTACCGGCGCCTGCTTTGTCTAAATGCGCTGAAAAGCTAACATTTGCATATCGTAGCACCTTCCTGTCGTTTAAATTTCACGTCTATAGCGTGTCGCCTTCTTGGTGTAGCAATTTTAATGGACAGTAGTGCATATAATGGAACAAACGGTAAGCAAGAAAAAAGAGATTGAATAGCCTGGGCACTTAATAAACTAACGCTTTTTACCAATGTATTAATAGAAGCTTTAAGCATACAACGGTGTGTGGGGATAAACTAGATAATAATTTTGTACACTATTTAATATTGAGTATGACTTTTAAAGTCAATTCAAAATATTATAAATATATACCTTTGAAGGTCAGATGAAAGACAGATTCTTTTGCAATACGACGCAACACTTTTCACTCACAAATGAAAGCTTTTCAAATAGCTAATGAACTGAGACTAATATATCATTACTTTTGCGAAAGACCAGTGCTGTAAAGGGCGACGA